TTATAAACATATATCTGATGAACTATAATTACCACAACTAAATATGTGAAAAGAGAAATGCGTTCACAAAAATAAAAAATAAAATGAACAAAACCATAAAATGAACTAAAATTAAACCGAAATGACTAGCAAATCTAAAAATAGCATCAAAATAAAAACTATTAAAAAATTTATATGATAAAATAAAAAATAAATGTAAAATAATTTTTTTTATATTTTAAAATAGCATCGAAAAAAAGTTAACAATGCAAAACGATATAAAAAAAAACATTATTTCAAAAACAATAATAACTTGAGCGTCACACTAAACAGCTCATTCCTCCACAGTTGCGTCTCCCTGAATATGAGAGTTTTCCCCCGTTGTCTGACTGTCGCTCACGGACAGACGGATCATCGGCCTCCAACAGAATATGAATATGAGTGAATCTGGGTCGCCTGTCAGAACACAAATGCCACTCGTGCTGTTGACCTTTAGGGGTCGGACGGGATCCCCCGCGGCAAAAACAATCAGAGCGAATGGCCTGAGCGTCCACTGACAGCAGATGAGCCCTGCAGACGCTGACCTGAAGCCTCGACAATAAAGATCACAGTCATTTACCAGCGCAGGAGATACAGCGTTAACACACCGCCATCTGAAATACTTCAGCTCACACGTAAACATTTAGACAGACCGAGCAGAACGTGCAGGTCTCCGTTCCTGCAGCGTACACACACACACACACACACCATTCAGCATCTGACTGACACACACAGAAGTATGCATCAGGAGAGCTCCCAACTCTACATTTGCATAAACAATCACTTTTATAATAGCAACTATAGGGTACAACTGGTTCATCAGAAGTGAGAGAAATCACGGCCGTTATTTACAGCAAGCGATACAGTATTAGTGAAGCATGCTATAGCAGTGTGTTCTGCTTATATTATAGTGTTTTCAACTCTTTTTGTTTCTTAATGAACGCTCCTGCATACAGTAGTATTAACAAGAGAACTGATGAACTGGAATAAACACTGTACTTTAGTTTTTACAGCGTGTGCTGTTTTGTAGTGTAATATTCCCTACAGCTGTAGAAAACTACAGTACTGGGTCATGTGTTTATTTTACTATAGTTGCTGCGTTACCATAGCGACATTAGAATCACCACAACAAATCAATTACTGTAGTTGTGTTACCATAGCAACTGTACTGTAGTTGTTGTGTTACCATAGCAACTATAGAATCACCACAACAGCTCAATTAATGTAGTTGTGTTACCATAGCAAATGTACTGTAGTTGTTGTGTTACCATAGCAACTATAGAATCACCACAACAGCTCAATTAATGTAGTTGTGTTACCATAGCAACTGTACTGTAGATGTTATCATAGCAACTCTAGAATCACCACAACAGCTCAATTAATGTAGTTGTTACCATAGAAACTGTACTGTAGATGTTGTGTTACCATAGTAACTGTAGAATCTCCACAACAGATGACTTACTGTAGTTGATGCGCTACCACGGCAACTGTAGAATCACCACAATATAAAACTAACTGTAGATGTTGTTACCGTAGCAACTTTAGAATCACAACAGATCACTTACTATAGCTGTTGGGTTACCATAGCAACTGTAGAATTTCCTCAACAGATCATAAAGATCAATTACTTTGTTGTGATTTTACAGTTGCTATGGTAAAACAAACAGAATAATTACTGTAGTGACTGTAACATAGCAACAGAAGAATCTCCACAACAGATCACTTAATTTAGTTGTTGTTACCATGGCAACTGTAGATTCATCACAATAGATTACTGTTGTTGTTGTGTTACCATAGCAACTGTAGAATCACAACATATTAATTACTGTAGATGTTGTTACCGTAGCAACTGTAGAATCACCACAACAGACCAATTACTATAGTTGTTGGGTTACCATAGCAACTAGAATGACCACAGCAGATCACTTACTGTAGTTGTGTTACCATAGCAACTAGAATCACCACAGCAGATAAATTACTATAGTTGTTGTGTTACCATAGCAACTGTAGAATCACCACAAAATGTTTATTACTGTAGAGATGTTGTTAACGTAGCAACTGTAGAATCACCACAACAGATCAATTACTTTAGTTACTGTTACCATAGCAACCAGAATCACAACAGATTAATTACTATGGTTGTTGTGTTACCATAGCAACTGTAGAATCACCACAACAGATTAATTACTATTGTTATTGTGTAGTCATAGCAACTGTAGAATCACAACATATTAGTTACTGTAGTTGTTTTGTTACCATAGCAACTGTTTAATCACCAGATTAATTCAAGTATTATACTATAGTATGGTTTAAAACACTGTAACATTTGCTACAAACTACTACAGTATTGTTTTATACATGGGTAAAGACATTTGTAATTTTGCAAAAGGTTTTGGTTTGGAATAAACGCTGTCGATGTTGAAATATTAATTGTATGGACACATTAATAATAACAGAAATGTTCCTAGATCATCAAATCAGAATATTAACATTATTTCATGTGATGCTGAAGACTGGAGTTAATCATTACGTCAACACACTGCAGTTCATTAGGTAAATTAAATGTTCATTTACTGTATATTTGCATCATGTATTTCCGTCAGCTTTATTAATTGTGTTGAACATATTAGTTCATCCATATTAAAGCAAGATATAGAAAACAAAGAAGCATTTCAGTGCCAACTACAGTATAGTAGAGAAGCGTAAAATAAAACATGTCTACTTCAGTTACTAATATCTGTTTAGTTGCATCTACTCTGCGTTTGACCCGATTAAACAGTTGAAATTTCAGCTGCAGGAGAAAAAGACCTCATTTAATTGCCAGTGGAGAATGTGTGTGTGTGTGTGTGTGTAACCGAACTAAACGTCCAGCAGCAGCAGCAGCACATAATAACACACCTGCTGCTCTGACGAGAGATGAATATGTTAATGAGTGAGCAGAAACAGCTGCTAATCACTGCGGATCTGCTTCCTGTTCAGTCCAAACACCAGCGCTAACAGCCAGCAGTCAACTCAGAGAAGTGCATTGTGGGTAATGGAGCCGCTCTCGGGGCCTCACAGACAGAAAAACTCAGAGAAAAAGACGGAGCGGTTGGGGATTCTGCTTTAAACGGTTGCTTCAGACAAACATTTAAATGTTATTCATTCATTCATTCTCCTTCAACTTAGTTTCTTTATTTATCAGGGGTCGCCACAGTGGAGTGAACCGTCAGCTATATTTGTTTCACGCAGCGGATGCCCTTCCAGCTGCAACCCAGTACTGGGAAATATTGAAATGATATTATGAAATAATTGAAATGTCATTTATTTATCTTTATATTGAGCTGCGTCCTGTTCAAGTGGATTTGTTGTTGTTGTTGTTTTTGTTTCCAGAAAAGATTTGATTATGATTTTGCTTTGTAACATCATAAATGTGTGTGCGGTTGATTTTCATTGATTTATCGTGTTCTTGATGAATAAAGTACTTCTGCAAACTAATCCCTAGCTTTTGACTCATATCATAAGATTAAGCTGCAATTAAAACAAAAAAACTTTAAAATATTCATACAATTAATTAATATTTTTAGAGAAAATAACAACAATATTTTACCACTTTGTTGTTTTGATTGATTTTTGATCAAATAAAAGCATCCTACTGATGGAATGTTTCACATTTTATAAAATATTTACAGTCAAAGTCTTGATTTTTAGCTCTCCTATAAAATATTAGTTCCTTTTCAAATATTTCTCAAATGATGTTAAAGCAGTTCTGAAGGCAAAACAGGGTCCAACCCGGTACTACTAATGTGTACCTAATAAAGTGGCCAGTGAGTGTATATACACAGTGCTCAGCATAAATGAACACACCTCATTATGAAAATAAATATTTGTATCTATTTCTCATTGATGATAGGTCACATATTTTGGTGAATTAAAAACAACATTTATTTAACAGATTTATTTAATAAAATAATAATTTAGTCACCAAACATCTTTAGAAATAGAAAGATAAGACATTTAAATTCAAGTGAAATATCACACTGTTTCAACTAAATTATGTATATTTTTGTACTATTATGTATATTTTTGTATTTTTGTATACTTTTGATGATTTTGCTTTTTCAAAATTTCATTTCATATTTTTCTGTAACATATACACTTATTTTTGGACTATAACTGTAAGTTTTTTATTAGATTAGATTTAGTACTGATTAATCTAATGTATACGCACAAATATAACATTGTAAAGCATCTTATAGATAATAGGAATTTAAAAGACAGATTTGTGAGAGGCAAAGTCCTTTATTTATATATACATATATTTATTAAACAGAGGAAAGACATTTTATTTATAATAATATTTGTTACATAATACATAATATTTGTTCTTCTGGAAAAAGTCTGATTTGTTTTATTTCAGCTAAAATAAAAGTAGTTATTAACTTTTTTAACACCATTTTAAGGTCAATATTATTTGCCCCTTTAAGCTATATTTGTTTTTGATAGTCTACAGAACAAACCACTGTTATACAATAACTTGCCTAATTACCCTAACCTGCCTAGTTAACCTTATTACCCTAGTGAAGCCTTTACATGGCACTTTAAGCTGTATAGAAGTGTCTTGAAGAATATCTAGTCTAATATTATTTACTGTCATCATGGCAAAAATAAAATAAATCAGTTATTAGAGATGAGTTATTAACACTGTTATGATTAGAAATGTGCTGAAAACATCTCTCTGTTAAACTGAAATTGGGGGGAAAAAACAGGGGGGCGAATAATTCTGACTTCAACTGTATATATAGCTGTAATTGTTCCATTTCTGAAAACAACACTATTATTTCAGACGTCAGGCTCTCCAGGTTAATATAGAACAGACAGGAAGCTCCTGATATCTGTTATCACTCAAAGAGGAAGAGGAAGTTTTGGAGAAGGACACTCTTGACTCCAGAAGACAGACAGACAGACAGACAGACAGACAGACAGACGCAGAGCAGAAGATATACGAAGAATACTCTTTATTTATTCCATATCAGCATGTAACACAATCATACACTTTATTTGAAGTCACAATAACTACTATCAAAACATCAGCACAATGTACTCCTCCTGTTTATAATGCATTGCAGAACAGTTATGGTGCTATTAATCTGGGATCGGGGTTGGGTTGTTGACAGGTTTAGTGATATGGGAAGGGTTAAGAGTGGGTTAAGGTGTAAGAGAGGGTGTAATTATTAACGGAAAAATTGTAATTACATGCAAAAGATTTCAAAATATTAGTACAACGCAGTAAAACTGACGTATTCTTAGAGAGTTCGTCTTGTTTTTGGTATAAATATCTGAACGTTCTTAAATCAGGAAGCATTTTATAGACAGGGATAAAATATAGTGTTGTTTACAGAAATAATGAGCCAAAATAAAGAGAGTTTTACCTTAAAACAAGCAGAATAATCCGCCAGTGGGGTGAGGGAAATCACTGGCTTTTTCCTTTACACATAAGATTATTCTGCTTCCCCCACTGGCAGATTATTCAGCTTGTTTTAATTAAAAACTCACTTCATTTTAGCACATCATTTCTGAAAACAACACTATATTTAGTGCACATCTAAAAATGCTTCTTTATTTAAGAGTTCACAGATATCTGGACCAAACACCAGACAAAAACTTGCATTTACTGTGCAGTTTCAATGAGTAGTTGAAATGTACCTATATAGTAGTTAAGGAGACTTCAAATAAAGTGTAACCAGCACACACACACACACACACACACACACACACACACACACACACACACACACACACACACACACACACTCACACAGATGGTTCAGATGGAGTTCACAGCACATGTTTGTCAGAGTCTCTGGCTGCAGGAAAGCTTAAATTGCTTCCGGATCCTCATGCCATCAGAAACGCCCCGTCCTCAGCGCTGGGGTCCCGCACACAGGCTGCTGATGTCCGTGGGGAAGCCGTCCTTCAGCAGGATCCCTCGCTCCCGCTGGCAGTCCAGCTCTGAGATGAAGCCGAACCAGTAGATGACCAGACCCGGACCAAACCTGCGCAAGAAAACATCGTTACTAAAGGCATCTTAAAGTGGACCTGATCTCTAGTGTGTGTGTGTGTGTGTGTGAAGTTTCAGCTCAAAATACCACACCAATAATGTTCTCTAACTCTCTGAATATGACCCTATTAGGATTTGATCCTAAGTGTGTTGTTTTGGTGACTGTCGCTTTAAATTCAAATGAGACGGTGCTCTTTCAGAAAAGGGCGGAGCTACAGATGTCTCAGTAAAGTGACAGATTCAAAACAAGACTACCGTCGTATGCTAATGAGGGAGAGATGGGCACTAGTAGGCGGGGCTTTCCTCCTCTGATGACATCATACAAAGGGGGAATGTCCATCAAAGTGTTTTTATCAAGGCTGATTATAAATAACACAATTATTTCATGTTTCCCATTAGAGGCTGGAGATATTCACACACTGCTGACACACAACTGGGTTTAAACCCCACATATGAGTGATTTTGGAATAATAGGTGTCGTTTAACACAGCTGATTTAAAGAGATGCACCTAAAGATGAACATTTACTCTCCCTCAAGTAGTTTCACACCTTGACTGTTCATTCACACCGAAAGCAGCGAGAGGAAGAAAGTAGCGGGAAGTCATTCATTTTCAATGGGAGCCGGCGGCGATAAGCGTCGAGGAGCAGCGTGGCGCGTCTTCACCGATGTGGGCGTCAGGCCCGGATTGGCTAATCGGGAGGACTGGTAGAATTCCCGGTGGGCCGGTCCGGTCTGAGGCTTGAAACTCCAGGACTGAAAAGGAGTCCCACTCCGGCCCTGGTGGGCATCGTGACATCGTTAACTTTATGGTAATGAGCTATGACGCGGTTCGGCAGCAAGCAATCAGAATGAAGTAGTCCACCGCTTGGGAGGAGTTCAGAGAACACAGCCACTGTGAACTCTGGTTCCGACCACAGTTGTTCCCAAGGGTTTGATTATTGCAGTTGCCGGATTTCCAATTCTTTGCAATGTTATCTTACAGGAACATACATTAAAAAAAGTTACTGGTGAGTTACTGATGTGTTATATGAGTAACATCACACTCGTAGCAGTGCGTTATGGCTGTATATCGGCATGAGACCGCAGGCCGAGTGCCTTAGTGCCCCCACCAATGCCGATATACAGCCATATCGCACTGCTGCAAGTGTGATATTGCATTTATACAACAGTTTGACCCTCTCAAACATGGAGAGTCTCATAAACCCTTTTATATGAGGAACTACTTTCTTCCGCGTTGGATTCAAATCTTTTACACTGTAGATCTGTAGTGTCTGCTTTAGCTGGCTGTGTGTGGGCGGAGTAATACACAAAGGGTACAGAGGCTGTACAGGTGCTGATATTACTTAAATATATCACGGCTATCAACCAATCAGATCCGAGAACCAGACAGAACTGTTGTATATATAGCAAAGCCACACCACATACAACTTGATCTTCCATTGTTAAATGAATTTGATTAAAAGTGAGCAACATTTTCATGCTAAAAAGCTTTGGGAATATCACTGATATGATAGCTGTAACGGCGCCTTTAAATTCGAGATCAATTTAGCGAACTTTGACGCTCTCACCACCGGAGCTGAAGGCAGACAGCGTTGACGCCAGTGCGACCCTTAACGCACAGTTATGAGTTTCTTCTGTTAACACTGAAGATTATATTTTAGAGAAAGAATATTCAACATTCTTTAAACTATCTTCTTGTGTGTTCAATAGAAGAACAAAGCTCCTAAAGGTTTGAAACAAGTAAAGGAAGAGTAAATGATGACAGAATGTTCCTTTAAGGTCTGTATCTGCTCCTCCACGGCATTATGGGTATTGTAGTTGTTGTTACACATGATGATGATTTGTATTTTTTTTATTTGTTCTGACGTATAACAATCTGTCTTTAAACGATCTTAAGTAATAATTATAAAGCATAAGCTCACCCAAAAATGAAAACACTGAATGTCAACAAAGTCATTTGTACAGTTTGTTGGAGCTTGGTATGACTACAGCCCAGCTATTGAAGACACACTCAATATTTAGAAGACTTTTCTGGACTTTTCTTGCTGTCTATGGAGGATAAGAGAGCTCCAGGATTTCATCTAAAACATCTTCATTTGCGTTCTGAACATTAACAAAGCTCTCAGGGGGGTTAAAAAACATGCCAGTGCATAAATAATAACAGAATTGACATATTTGTGTGAACTATTAAAAGGGAAGTGAACGTTGTGTGGTGTATTTGGAATCTGCATCAGTTTCTTGTCAGTAGCGTCAGACGGTGTGTTGGAGCTCAGTGTTGAAGTGCTGTCGTCTCTTTCACACACTGATTTACTGGAGTCACAGAGGGAAAAGCAGCCAAAACTAACAGTCCCCACAGACTCAGAGCGCTCTGTCATCACGCCATTAATACTGGTCTCTCATCCTTTTTATGGAAATGTTATGGACGTCGAATCTAAACATTTACATGCTATATCAGGAGTGCGGTGACGTATGGGGACGCATAGAAGTCTGCAGGCCAAAGAGTCTTGTGGAAGTGTTGATGATCAGATAAGAGTGGAAAAACAGGCTCTCCACATGACCATAGTGCTGTTGTGAACTAATTAACCCTCGTTTGCTCTCTGAGAAACACAGGAAAGAACACGTCACACTTTAAACTGATATATCATTTCATACACTGTAACTTCAGAAGACAGGAGCAGCAGGTCAGAGTCAGGTCCAGCTCTCAGAGAAATGACGTATCTCTATTCACTATGCTCAAACCGAAACAACATCAGTGTTCACTTGTGCAAAGTGTGGAAGAGATCAGAACTAAACCAAGAACAAAATTACAACATAAACACTGATCTTAAATAATCAAACAGCAAGTCCATATTAAGTATTTGAACAATTCAGACACAATTAAAGAGGTATAACCTTATACACTCACTGGCTACTTTATTAGGTACACCATACTAGTACCAGAGATTTTGCTCCATATTGTCATGATAGCATCACACAGTTGCTGCAGATTTGTCGGCTGCACATCCATGATGCCAATCTCCCGTTCCACCACATCCCAAAGCTGCTCTATTGGATTGAGCTCTGGTGACTGTGGAGGCCATTTGAGTACAGTGAACTCATCGTCATGTTCAGCAGTCTGAGATGATTGAGCTTTATGACATGCTGCGTTATCCTGCTGGAAGTAGCCATCAGAAGATGGAGACACTGTGCTCATAAAGGGATGGACATGGTCAGCAGCAATACTCAGGTAGGCTGTGGCGTTGATGTTCAATTGGTACTAATGGACCCAAAGAAAATCTCCCCCACACCATTACACCACCACCACCAGCCTGAACCGCTGAAATACTGATATATCAGTACATCCATCACAGTTCTTTCTTTTAAACCAATATTTTCTACAGGATGCTTTACAATAATAGCTATGTGCGAAAAGCAACATTTTGAACTAATCTAACAAAAAATAAATAAACTGAAGATCACAGTCCAAAAATGAGTACACCCAGATTAATATGTTAAGTGAAAATATTAAATAACATTTTAATAAACAGAAGAAAAAAAATCAACAGAAACATAAAAAATATACAATTGAAATGTAGTATTTGTAAAGATGTTATTAAAGATGTTTGGTGTGTGTGTGTGTATGTATATATATGTGTGTGTATGTATATATATGTATATATATATATATATATCTTTTAAACTTTAGATCTGTAGTATCTGCTTGTTGCTGGCTGTATGTGGGCGGAGTAATACACAAAGGTTAAAGAGGCTGTACGGGTGCTGATATTACTTAAATTTATCACAGCTATCAGCCAATCAGATTCGAGAACCAGACAGAACGGTTATATATATATAAAGTTTTAATCCTTATTAAGAGGTTAAGTGACTTAAAATAGCAGGTGAATGATAATATTACCTTGATTAAGCATGAACTTCAGACTAAGCCTGAGAGTTAACCTGCCCCAGACCAGGCTAGTTTCCCAACACAAGTTGCCAGAGTAACTGAGTTTGAACTATCGTAAATTTCATTCATTCATTTTCTTGTCGGCTTAGTCCTTTTATTAATCTGGGGTCGCCACAGCAGAATGAACCGCCAACTTATCCAGCAAGTTTTTACACAGCGGATGCCCTTCCAGCCACAACCCATCTCTGGGAAACACCCACACACACACTCATACACTACGGACAATTTAGCCTACCCAATTCACCTGTACCACATGTGTTTGGACTGTGGGGGAAACCGGAGCACCTGGAGGAAACCCAATCGAAGGCAGGGAGAACATGCAAACTCCACACAGAACCGCCAACTAAGCTGAGGATCGACCCAGCATCCTTCTTGCTGTGAGGCGACAGCACTACCTACTGCGCCACTGCCTCGCCCTATCATAAATTTGATTTCAGAAATTTGAAACTGAATCAGCCATTAATAAACCCGACTTACCAAAAATAAGCCTGGCTCTTTCAGTAAGCTTGGGTTATGGAACAGGCCCCGATTGTGAAATTGTGACGAAAATGATACACAAATTGTGAACATTCAGAGGCCGGAAGGTTTGTGTTTAATTAAGGGTTAATGATGGTCAAAATCAATTGTTACTTTTGGGTTCACACAGATGTAAGGATGTTTTGTTGATTATGAAGAAACGTGCATGTTAAGTGTATGATTAATATCCTTAAAATACATAAATGAATCAATCAACTATATGAACGCATCCAGACGTCCATCAGATAAGCCAGCCAGGAACACTAGAGGACCGTGTGGATGACGAGTAGTGAATCTGAGAAATGAACTGTGAATATTCAGCAAGTGCCTGTATTTAAGTGTGCGTTTGTGTTTAGTAGAAATCTAAAGTATTTGTGTTTGAATAATCAATCAAGTGTATGAGTAATCGTTCATTTCTCCAGGACTGTAGATACAGTAGATGCTCTTCTCCCGACAGCACTGCATTTGATGAGCTCTAACAAAATCCGATAGGTCTACAAAACAATCTGAACGCAAGCAAATAACCCAAAGGCTG